ACAATAAATTATCCATGATAGTGGCATTGGACATCTCAAATTGCCAGCCAGGCACCATCCTAAATGCTGGAGATACAGAAACGAACAAGACAAATTTCTTCAATTCATAGAGCTTATATTTTGGTGAGGAAGGCAGGAAATAAAGCAAGACAACATAAATAACTACTGTACCTCTAAGAGCCATGACTGTAAAATAAATAAAGCAGTAAAACAGAAAAAAAAAAAAAAAGAAAACCTTACAGGTGAGGTACTTAAAAACACTTTGGAAAGATTAGTTATATATATACTTTTTTTTTTTTTAAAGATTTTATTTATTTATTTGAGACAGAGAGAATGAGAGAGACAGAGAGCACATGAGAGGGGGGAGGGTCAGAGGGAGAAGCAGACTCCCTGCCAAGCAGGGAGCCCGATGCGGGCCTCGATCCCGGGACTCCAGGATCATGACCTGAGCCAAAGGCAGTCGCTTAACCAACTGAGCCACCCAGGCGCCCCAGTTATATATATACTTTTAAAGATTATTTATTTTAGAGAGAGAGAGAAAGAGACAGCGTATGTGCATGCACAGTGGGGAGGGGTAGAGGGAGAGGGAGAGAGAGTTCCAAGCGGACTCTGCACCAGAGCCTGTTGTGGTGGGGCTCGATTTCACAAGCCTGAGATCATGACCTGAGCCAAAAGAAACCAAGAGTTGGTCACTCAACCAACTGTGCCACCCAGGCGCCCCAAGGTGGAATATAGGATTGGGAATTTAGGAGGTAGAAGTGGACAATCCTGACTTGTCATGAAATCAGAAAAGCTCTGAAAACTAGGAAGAAATATGTAGTTCAACAGGGGAGGAAGACGTTAAATAATCATAAACATGTAAAATTGTAACTATTATGGCTCCATGTACAAAGGAGAGGTGTATGTTGTATTTTTCTGTGTGGAAGCAGTGGCCAAGCTTAGATCTGAGGAGCTGCCTGTCCCCTTGCTAGCTGCCAGGGACCCCACAGCCAGTGCCCTCCAATTCCCACCTGACTATATAGAGTGTCACTCTGAATCAGTGTATCAGGAGGGAGGCACGTAGCGTTAGTGGCGAGCCATGACGTTGGCTCATTAGGGAGGTAATTATCAGGGTGGTCTTAGGACCATTTACCTATTTGCTTCTTGGCATGAATCCAGGATCTTTGAACTGGGGGCAAACAATAGTGGAGACAGACATTTTTTAAGATGGTTTCATGAGTCTGGGTAGGTTTCACCTTAGTCTAATTTTAGCTGCCTTATCACTTGTGAATCTAGGTGAATTAGTGGGGAGATCTTGAAGAGGTTCTAAGATAGAAAATGAAATTAGTCATAAGTACTTACTATGAAAACAAAACTTTGGAATTTTCTGGAGTCTGTAAAGGACTAATAGATTCACATTGTTGTATTTATATCACACTGCTGAACAAATACATACTGAATTAATGAACAGGAAAATATACATATGTACAAGAAGCTTTGAGAAACCTAAACTTCTATTTCAGCACATTTATGATGCTATATTTCAACTAGAATTTTGGAAAACTTTTTTTTTAAGCATGTGTTTTGTTTCAAATTGTCATGTGGTCACTAATGTAAAGCATTTAACTTCCCTTTTATACAAGAGCTGTGAAGTAACAGGGGGAACTAATAACAAAAACCTGGAACGAATCCAGTCTTCTCCACTTCAATGAATGGTAATTCCATTCCTCCAGATGCTCATCCAATTAGTCAAGAAATCCCTTCAGCTCCTCTTTTGAACTATACCTTGAGTTCAGTTACTTCTATTTTTATTTTATTTATTTATTTATTTATTTATTTTTTAAATTATTATGTTATATTAATCACCGTACATTACATCATTAGTTTTTGATGTAGTGTTCCATGATTCATTGTTTGTGCATAACACCCAGTGCTCCATGCAGAACGTGCCCTCTTTAATACCCATCACCAGGCTAACCCACCCCCCGAACTCCCTCCCCTCTAGAACCCTCGGTTTGTTTTTCAGAGTCCATAGTCTCTCATGGTTCGTTTCCCCCTCCGATTCCCCCCCTTCATTCTTCCCCACCTGCTATCTTCTTCTTTTTTTTTTTTAACATATAATGTATTATTTGTTTGAGGTACAAGTCTATGATTCAACAGTCTTACACAATTCACAGTGCTTACCATAGCACATACCCTCCCCAATGTCTATCACCCAGCCGCCCCATCCCTCCCACCCCCCACCACTCCAGCAACCCTCGTTTGTTTCCTGAGATTAAGACTTCCTCATATCAGTGACTTCTAATCAGCTGAGCTCTTCTCCAGGGACAGTCACCATCATCTCTTATCTGGACTGCTGTACTTGCTGGTCTTGCTACCCGTGCCCCATGTACAGGCTTTTTTCCAAATCTGATAGAGTGGTTCTTTAAAAAAAAAAAAAAAGAAGAAGTCAGATCATATCAGTTCTGCTTCCAGGTTTCTTATTTTACTAAATAATATCTAAACAAAATACCACAGACCTGGATATCAAATGGTTCATTTTCTCATCTCCCTTAAACCATTGCTCAAATTCACCTTATTAAAGAGGCTTTCCCAGACCACTTTACATAAAATAGTACTTGCTTCCATCTTTCACAATCTGTTCCCTCATCCTGGTTCATTTTGCTTTAGAGCACTTATTACCTGATGTATATAATATGTATTTGTTTGTCTCTCTCAGTAAACTGTAAGTTCCATGAGGGAAGCTTTTTTGTTTTTGTTGTTGTTGTCCATTGTCCCATCCTTAGCACCTAGAATGGTGCCTGGCATATAGTAGGTCTTCAGTAAATATGTTTTTTTTAAAAAAAATATGTATTTATTTGAGAGAGAGAGAGTGAGTGAGAGGGAGAGGAGAGGGAGAGAGAATCTGAAGCGGACTCCACACTGAGCACAGAGCCTGATGCGGGGCTTGATCCCACAACCGCGAGATCATGACCTGAGCTGAAACCAAGAATTGGATGCCTAACCCAACTGGGCCACCCAAGCGCCCCTCAATAAATATGTTTTGAATGAATGAAACTTAAGTGCATACGTGAAAAGAATACTTTTTATGAAAAAGACGTCCACTAGATGGCATTGCTTTCAAACTTTATGTAATTAATGTCTGGGAGCAAAAGATAGGATCTTTTCTGTTACTCTAGCCAGGAAAGCTCTGTGATGAAGATTGTCACAAGAAATTGCTATAATTAATGTGAGGCATATAGATACTAGATTTGTATTTGGTTTTTGATTTATATATATTTTTAGATATCTTTTCTAAAATAAAAATACTTGGAGAAACTGATTATAGAAAATTATAGCATACTGGTATGTAAATAATCATTTGATACAGTTATTTCACATGGTAACTGTGAATAAAGTCACTTTGTGTCCATACATTGACCACCTTCCTTCTGAGGGGCCTTAATTGAATGGGAGAGCAGTAATAAGTTCCAGAGCTTTTTACCACTCAAGGCACCAGTTGAAATTCAGCCTAGTGTTGAAGGCAGAAAATTATTATTGTCTGTCATTTGTTGTTGCCGATGAGTTAGGTACTCACTGGTTGAGATAAGTATTCAGTACCTAATCAACCAGGCATCCAGTTTTGAAAAACTTCGTGTTTCTGGCAGACGTTGCCATACCTATCTTATTAAAAATCAGTGGGTCCCAAGTGTCAGAGCTTTTAGCTGACTTCTCTGACCAGCTCCAAACTTGGCAAATAGTTGCCCTAATCAAGAAATTTACACAATTTCCTCAAATCCTTAAAATGTGCCTGTCCTGTCTGTGCCAATGTCATCTCATTTTTTCCTGCTTTCATCGCTTACCTCATTTCCTCCTTTATTCCACCCTGTCTCTCTCATGCACTTCCCCTGAATGCTCATTTGATCCATTTTGTTCTCAGTTTTTACACATCTTTTAGTAATTTTTCCTTTTCCTGTTCAACCTAATGTTGCCTTTTTTTAAATTGTTCAAAATACACTTTAAAAAATATTATTGACCAGTTTTCTCCCTTTCTCTATTTTAGATTTTTCTTTTTCATTTCTGATTATAATATATGTGAGGAATTTATTTTGTTTATCTCTTTAAAGTTCTCAGCCTCTTCTTGGGACTCATTAACTATCTAGAAATGAAAACACTGTTCTTTGTACTTTGGCGTCTTTAAATGGAACATAAAGTATAGGGTGATTTTTGTGTTTATAGTCCTTCCTCCCAGTCATCCTTGGATGGTTAAGTATCAGGCTGATAAAGTATTATTTTAAATAGGAGACAGTTATACTCAAAGATTTACACTTTTATATTTTTAATGAGAAATATTTGAATTTTCTGGTACTGAGCTCCATGTCTTAAGCTATTAATGATGATATTTGCATTTGTTTGGCCTTGTCACCCTCCTACACTTGGCCTACCCCATGCATTAGATCTGGCTTTGAGTTCATAATGTAGAAAATCCTTTTTTCTCTACTAAGGGAATATTGGACAACATCCATTTGTTTAGAAAATAATTTCCTGTTTACCAAGAAGCTATTAGATACATTTATTTTGTATATATTAAGTTTTAATTGAGAAAGCATATTTTTCTGTTCTGAGACATGGAGACTTACTGATATTTGATTGTTAGAATGATAATATATATTTGTTCAAATATATTTCTTTCATTCATGATGATGAAATAATTTTTCTTATTTACTGAACAAATCTTACAGCTGCTAGCCAAATTATCACTTATTAAAAAACATATCTATTCCTAGGAAGATAAACCTCAGAGACATTGTTGCTTACTTAACCTTAGATGAGATCTGAAAGCCCTTGCTGGTCTCATGCTGTGACTGCTAACCTCTTTTAGTGCTTATAAAGGGAGGCTTGTTTTGCTTATACCTGCTTTATTTTTGTTCTAGTGTTACTTGTGGCTTATGAGTTTCCTAAGTAAAATTCATTAGAAGTTCAGCATTATGGCCTTAAATATCATTACCTATTTTCACTTGTGCTATTTTTCTTCCCTACAGACTGGTTGAGATAGCAGAATCTCGTTTTCCCAGATATTTTAACACTGAAGAAAAATTACTTTTGACAAGCAGTAAGGTTCATCTTTATCGGGAACTCAGCTGTGATGAAGTTCTGCAAAGGTATGCTGCTTTAGATTTTGGTATGTTAGAAATACTTTGAAGATTTATTTTTTGTTTTTTATGTTCTCAGTTGAGTGAAAAAAAAAGTCTCTACATATGTATTAGGGTTATGGGAAGTAATTATTTCAGTGTTCTTTATTTGCTACAGTCTATTGGATGAAGTATTTCTTTAAAAATGAAAACAAGTTGAATGAGTGAAGTGTTTTAGATTTAATTAATTACTTAAGTGGTGTATTAATTATCTATTGTTCCATTGACAGGTTACCCCCAAAATTCAGCAGCTTAAAACAGCAAACATGTATGATCTCATGTAGTAGCAGAGGCTTAGGTATCTAGGAGTGGGTTAGCTGTGTTTCTGGCTCGGGGTTTCAGGAGAAGTTGCAGTCAAGCTGTTGGCCAGGGCTGTGGTCATCTCAAGGCTCAAAGAGGGCTGGAGAATCTTGGAGAATTCCAAGGTTACTCGTGTAGTTGCTGGAAGGCCTCCCTTCCTTGCTGGCTGTTGGCCAGAGGCCTCTGTTCCTCACCATGTGGGCCTCTCCATAGGGCTGTTAACAACATGGCAACCTGTCTCCCCCAGAGAGAGGGATCTGAGAGAGTGGGCATGTGAGAGAGAGCCCAAGGTGGCATCTGTAGTCTTTTATAACTTACCCTCAGAAGTGACATACCATCATTTTGTCATATGCAGTTGGTCATGTAGACCAACCCTGGTAAATGTGGGAGGGGACTGCACAAGGATGTCTGTCAATACAAGGTGGGAGTAAATGGGGGCCATTTTGGAGATGGGCTATGATAAGCAGTTTTATCCTAAAATTAGTAGTATCGTAGGAGAGCTGGAGAATGAAACTAAATGAAAACATGTTGGTGCATTTTCAAAAGAGTGCTATATGTATAGAAGAGCTGGAAATAAGTTATGATTATTGAATACTTGCAATCATTACTGTAACTTAGGAAAGACCAATTTGTTGTCATTGTTTTTAAGTTGGTTAATCTTTGCAATACCCTGTTTTATATTATATCTTAAATTTATCTACTATTTTGCAAATTCTGCTTTTACAGGATTGAATCTTTGGAAGAAGAAATTATTTCAAAGGGAGTTAAACTTGTAATTATTGACTCTGTTGCTTCTGTGGTAAGAAAGGAGTTTGATACACAACTTCAGGGCAACATGAGAGAAAGAAACAAGTTCTTGGCAAGAGAAGCGGCCTCCTTGAAGTATTTGGCTGAGGAATTTTCAATCCCGGTAAGTTTTTTCTTTTTCTCTCTTTTTTTCTTTTTCTTTGTTTTCTTTTATGTTAAGTTCACTGACTTAAAATATCAACTAATATAATTAGAAGAAAATGTAAAACAGATGATGTGTTAAAGGTAGCATGGTCTAATTGCTATAATAAATACCACCGTCTTCTTAAGTTTGTTCATCTGTTGAGATTATCTTTTTCACAGTAGGAGTCTGGAGCAGATTTAAATGTTGAAAGTTCCTATGTGGTCAGTCCTTTTCTCAATCCCATTGTTGACTCTCTGTGTATTGTATTTTGTATTACTTTTTGTTTTGTATTACTTTTTTGTATTACTTTTGTCACATTGAGGTAAACATTGACTACTAAAACTACATGAAATTGCCTAGGTCTATTTCTGTAGTTCCTTTTATGGCAATATTTGTCAGTTTTATATATATTTTAGATTTAGATATTATGTTATTATGTTCGGTGCTGTCTTGTACTCTGTAGGATTTGGTTTGCTCCAAATGGCCAGAGGTTGACTATCACATTTTAAAGTATTGGGAGTGATAGTGATGAAAGTGTCAGTAAGGAGACCTTGAGAGATTACTGTTGACCCCACTTTCTATAGTGGGGATTGTGATGAGTAAATCTGAAGATGTGGGTATCTTGTAAGGGTTTGCAGTGGTTAAGCTATAAGGTCTAAGTGTGTACTGTTTGCTTTCCCAGTAGCAGTGCATAGGAGAGTTCTGCTTATTCTGCAGCCTCAGCAACATTTAGTATTGTCAGGCTTTTCAATTTTAGCCAGATATCATCTCAACAGAAGATAAGACAATTCCTTAAACTGAGGTAAGATTTAGTTATGATTTTATAATCTTTAGATTCGTGTTTGGAAAATTAAAAGCTTGGATCTTTGTAATATGTACCAAGATGGTAAACTACCACACAGCCTTTGAGATTTATAAACCCAAGCAAGAAGTCAAAGGAGAAAATGTGACATATAAAAAGTTCTACATTTCTTAATGGCTTTTTAATTCGTATTTTGGATTGTATGATGTAATTCCTGGTGAAGTCAAGGGCTGTAAAGTTTATCCCGGATGATGCTCATCTTTTAAATTTTATTATAGTTGGTTAAAATGATAAATCCAAATCCATGTTTTCCCTGGCCAAGGGAATTTAAAAATATTTTGTGGGGTTACTTGATTAAATGGAAAAGTTAAGGATGTATACTTATTTTATTAATTCATAGTGGTTGCTTGACTTAATCCTATATAAAATATGAAAATTCACTTTTTAAAAGTTGTATTTATTTGCTTTTAAATAGTAATTGTAGGCTAATGTTTTCATTTTTTTTCTGAGGTTATTTATTTTCCTGAGTGAGAAAAGGGCTCTGCTTTTCTTTGTTTTTATTAGTGCCCTCTGAAAGAATAGGTACTTATTATTTCCATATCTCTCTGTCTTTGCCTTTGTTGTTCTCTTTAGAGATAAGTGCAGAATATAACATGCACTTCTGTAACACAGGATGGTAGTGGTTTTTGTGACAAGTTAGTATTGGTTTTAGAAGGATTTTGAAAAATACTTCCTTTAGGAAGTGTGGGAATTTTCCTAGCCTAATTACCTCATTTAAATGAAAAATCATGAACTTTTAAGTTTTTAAGCTGTACTTTGAATAGGCGACTCCACATGGAACTAGCTAGCTGAAAACAATATGTCGCTATCTAATTTATTATCCCTTTCAAAATCACAGACCATATGCCTCTTTATAGTTCCTCAAACATTCCAACAACCATTCCTGCCTCAAGAAGTATTTGTTATTCCTCAGTCTGGAATATTTCCCCCTCTGAATATCCATATGATTTCTTCTCTCCTGTCATCTTATTAATGGGGACTTTCCTGACCATGTAAGTATTAACCACACTCCCTGCCTCCCCTTCTCCCTTATTATGCTTTATGTTTCTTTGTTACAGTTTTCACCTTCTAGCATGTTATATATTTATGTTGATTGTGTGTGTATCTCCTCCACCCCGTAGAGTGGTCACGGGGACTGTCTACTTTCTTCACTGCTTTATTCTCAGCAGGAGGAACAGTGCTTAACACACAGTAGGCACTCAGTAAATATTTTCAAATGTATGAATTGAAGATATTCCTTTTCTCTTTGGACTTGAGTTAATCTTATATATATTAGTATTACACTTCAATATTTAATATTTGCTTTTAGCCTTATTTTGATCCTATCTTTAATATTGTTTATTATTTCTAATAGTAATAAAATACAATATTAGATAGCAGAATGTCTTATCATATAGGAGGTGTACTCAGATTACCCTGGCATCTTATAGGAAGAAAAAGAATTCTTAAGATTCTTAAGCTTGGAAAAGTCTTTAGAGCTCTCTCTATATATCAGATCTATAGATTTATATAGTATCAGAAAGCCAGGAAGTAGAAAAGATTCTATTTCAGTTTAGTAGAACTATGATAAGTGAATGTCTGATGGCCTCTGAGGAGTGGGCAGGAAGCCAAGCATTCCAGCCTGCCCTCTGGCTGTGGATCTGAGATGGTGGATAGGGCCAGGACCATGCCTGGTACTTTGACACTCTAGATATCATTTCATTCAAATAAGAGTAAAGAGTAAAATCACCTTTAGGTGGTGGATGAGTACTTTATTGAATTTTAAAATTTCTTTTCAGTGAACATGCAATACTTTTAATAAGTAGGGAAAAGCTAAAAGTATAATCTATACTTAATTTTGATTGTCACATTGTATGTATTTGTAAATGTTTGCATGCAAGGATGCCTGCATGCATGCATGAAGATTTCAGTCTTCTCTCTCAGTGATTGATAAAATAGACAAAATGTTAGCAAATTAAATCCAGAAAGTCAGAAGCCTGAATAACATAACCAACTTGATCTAATTGACATTTACAAAACATTCCACTCACTGCTTGCAGAAAATGCATTTCATTCAGGTACACATGAGATATTCACCAAGATAGACAGTATTCTGGGCCATAAAATAAAACTCAACAGATTTAAAAGGTTGAAATGGTACAGTGTATGTTTTTTGACCCACAAGAAGAGCAAATTAGAAATCATTAATACAAACATATCTGGAAAATCCCCAAATATTTGGTAATTAAGCAAAGAATAAATCACAAGAGAACTTAGAAAATATTTTCAAGTAAATCAAAATGAAAATACAACATATCAAAATTTGTGAAATGTGGCTAAGTCGCTGCTTACAGGGAAATTTATACAATTAAATGCTTATATGAGGAAGAAAGGTTACAAATCAATAAGCTTGTAAGAAATAGAAAAAGAAGAATAAATTAAACCCAACATAAACAGAAGGAAGGAAATAAAGTGCAGAAATCAATATAATTGAAAACAAAAACAGTAGAGAAAAAAATCAATGAAATAAAATGCTAGTGTTTTGAGAAGACCAATAAAATTGATAAAACTTTACCCAAATTGACCAAGAGAAAAAGAAAAAACAAATTAGTAATATCAAGAATGAAAGAGGGGAGGGGTGCCTGGGTGGCTCAGTAGTTAAGTGTCTGCCTTCGGCTCAGGTCATGATCCCAGGATCCTGGGATCGAGCCCCGCATCGGGCTCCCTGCTCGGCGGAGAACCTGCTTCTCCCTCTCCCACTCCCCCTGCTTGTGTTCTCTCTCTCTCACTGTCTCTCTCTCTGCCAAATAAATAAAATCTTAAAAAAAAAAAAAAAGAAAGATGGGATATCCCTATAGATCCTATAGACATTAAATGATAATAAGAGAATGTTATGAATAGCTTTATTCCATTAAGTTTGATAACTGAGATGAAATGAACAAATGCTTTGAAAGACACAGACTACTTACTGAGAAAGAAATAGATAACTTAAATCATCCTGTATCTGTTAAAAAATTGAATTTGTAGTTAAAAATCTCACAAAGAAAACTCTAGGTCCAAATGGTTTTACCAGTAATATCTACCAAACATTTAAAGGAGAAATATCAATTCTATACAAGTCTTCCTGAAAATTTACAAGAAAACTACAGACCAATGTCCATTATAAACATAAACCCAGAAATCCTTAACAAAGTATTAGGAAATTAAATCCAGCAATAAATAAGAAGGGACTGAGTAGAGCTTTCAGGAATGCAAGGTACATTTTGAATGCAACATTAAAATATAAAATCCATCACATCAACATAAAAAAAAAGATCTCAGTAGATGCAGGAAAGAAAAGCAGTCAACAAAATTCATCACCTGTTCATGATGAAAACTCTCAACAAAGCAGGAGTAGATGGGAACTTTCTCAACTTGACAAAGGACATCTACAAAACCCTTCAACTAACATCATACTTAACTTATACTTAGTGGTAAAATACAGTCTTTCTTCCTAAGATTGGGAGCAAGGATAAGATACCCCACTCTTACTATTTCTAATCAGCAATATACTGTAGATCCTAGCCAGCATAATATGGCAAGAAAAATAATTTAAGTACATTCAGGTTAGGAAAGAAGAAATAAGACTGTCTTTGTTCATAGATCATATAATTTTAGTAGAAAACCCAAAGATTCTACAGAAAAAAGAAAACTATTAAATCTAACAAGTAATTTTAGCATGGTTGCAGGATATGGGTTACACAGAAATCACTTGCTTTTCTATATGCTAGTAATGAACAATTGGAAATTGAAATTGAAAACATGTACCTTTCATAAGAGCACCAAGAACATGAAATACTTAGTGATAAATAAGACAAAATATATCTAATATTTTTATGCTGAAAACTACAGAACATTGATGAGAGAAATCAAAGAAGACCTAGATAAATGGAAACATATCATGCTTATGGATTGAAGACTCAATACTGTCAAGATGTCATTTCTTTCTAAATGGCTCTATGTATTTAACACACATCCCAATGAAAATCCCAGTAGGCTTTTTGGTAGAAATCAACAAGGCAGCTGTCAAATTTATGTGGAAAAGCAGAAGACTGAGAAAAGCCAAAAGTTTATAAAAAGGAATATAGAGGACTTCCACTCTCTGAATTCAAGACTTACTATAAAGCCACAGTAATTAAGACAGTGTTATATTGGTGGTAGGGTAGATTCCCAGGTCAGTGGAACAGAATAGAGAGTCCAGAAAATAAATGGATTATGGTCAGTTAATTTTGAACAAAGAAGGTAAGGTAATTTAATGGAAAAGGGATAGTTTTTCAACAAATGGTGCTAGAACAATTGGATATCTATTTGTAAAAAACAAACCTTGACTAATTCTTCACACATTGCACAAACCTAATTCCAAATGGATCATCCACTATAACATAAAACCTAAAACTATAAAACTTCTAGAAGAAAACACAGGAGAAAATCTTTGTCACTTTGAGCAAGGCAGAGATTTCTTAGTGATACAAAAACAGGAACTGTAAAATAAATTAACACTTCTGCTCTTTGCAGATACTCAAGAAAATGAAGAGACAAGCCACAGACTGGTAGTTAATATTTGTATAACTTATATGTTAAAGTACTGGTAACTAGAAATATAAGAACTATGAAAATTCAGTAACAGTCTAATGTTTTAAATGGGCAAAAGATGTGAATAAACACTTCAAAGAAGATATACAGATGGCAAATAAGCACATAAAAAGATGCTCAATCATTAGTTGTTAGGGAAATGCAAATTAAAATCATAACAAAATACTGCTATACACCTATTAGAATTGTTCAAAAACCAAAACCAAAACCCTAACTATGCCAGATGCTGACGAGGGGGTAGAGCAGGTCCATCTCTCATCCGTGCTGATGTAAATGCTGAATGGTGTAGCCACTCTGGAAAACACTTTGGCAGTTTTTTTGTACAGTTAAACATTTTAATTATGTTACCCAGCAGTCTCTCCCTAGGTATTCTTTTTTTTTTTTTTAAGATTTTTATTTTATTTATTTATTTCAGAGAGAGAGAATGAGAGAGAGAGAGCACAAGAAGAGGGTCAGAAGGAGAAGCAGACTCTCGCTAAGCAGGGAGCCTGATGCGGGACTCAATCCCAGGACTCCAGGATCATGACCTGAGCCGAAGGCAGTCGCTTAACCAACTGAGCCACCCAGGCGCCCCTATTCTTTTTTTTAATGCAAAGAAATTATATTCCTGCAAAAATCTGTATGAAAATGTTTTTAGTACTTTTATTCACTATCACCAAATACCACAAACAACATGAATATTTATCAGCTGGTGAATGAATAAAGAAATTCATATTCAAGTAATGGAATATTCATATAGCAGAATACTACTCAGCAATAAGAAGGAACAAACTACTGATATAAACAACAGGGATGAGTCTCAAAAGCATTGTATTAAATGAAAGAAGCCAGACTCAAATGGCTACATTTTATGTGATTTGTTTTATGACATTCTGCAAAGGGCAGAGTTATGGAAGTGAGAATTGGGTTTGTGGTTTCAGGGGCTCAGGGTGGGTAGGTGAGGAGATTGACTACAAGTGGGTATGAGAAAACTTTTTGGCACGATGGGAATGGTCAATGTATTGATCGTGGTGTGGCTACATGAGTGTGTAAGTTCTTCGAAACTCAGAACTGTACACCCAAACAGGGCATGTTTTTAAAATTATATGTTAATTTTTCCTCAAGAAACAACAAAAAGCAAATGAAGCACTTACACTAGAGGATCTCTTATGATTTAGAACTTTCTTCTTTGATACTAACTTTCTGTTACCTCAAGGAAAAGAGAATTACCAAGTGTGTTTAATCAGTTAACTTTAGTTCAGCAGTTCAAGCTTTGGCCAACAGCCTTCTTTTTAAAAAATTGCTGTTGTCTTCAGAATTTATGGGACAATATCAAGTTGTTGAAGTTTTATTTTATGTTGTATTATACTAGCCTCAAAATCAGTTTTGTAGGTTTTTTCCAGTTGAGTTATAGGAGCAAGTTGCTGAAGACTTATAGGTAAGAAACATAACCCAATACTTAGCCTCTTGCTAATTCTTCTTTCTGAAACATGTTTCCTTTTTTTTTTTTTTAACGAATATCTTTGTCTATAAAGTTAATTATATTTGGACAGTTTGTGAACACTGCCAGCACATTAACGATTGCTGGAAATATAGTAATCCTTAATGAAAATGCGGAGGCAAATTTCTAAAAAGCTGAAATGTCTCATTTTGAGTTCAGATAGTTTTAACCTCAAAAGTTAAATCAGTAACTTGTATTTTAAATTCATGCGTTCTTTCTGGAGATGATTTATTTGTAAGGATGTAAGAAGAAATGTCCTCCCTCAGGGTTGAAGAAAAACTAACCTCTCAAGGTCTTCTTTTGTTCTTTCTTCATTAGTGTTGTATAACAAGTTATTATTATTTCAATTGAGATTTAGATCTAGATATTTTATTAGTTCTGTGGAAAGTCACAAAAAGAAGCTCTTTGCAGTAGTTTATATAGGGTATACACTTCACTAACTTTTTTTTTTTAATGGGATGAAGAAGGAGTAGTATATAGCACATAAAATTCTAAATTTTAGGGACTTTTAGGCCCCCCAAGGGTGTTAAAGTTCTGATATTTGGTGGCCATGGGTGACTCGATCCTCTTTCAAAGTTTTAAGATGTTCAGGTAGTAACTTAGGAGAATATCCAGAGCATGTGTAAGCTGCAGAAGACCAAGGCAGGGCCATTTCCCCCTCTGACATTTTGTTATACTAACATCTTTTTAAAAGTTTTTTATGATTCATTACACTAAGGACCTTATACATATACAACTTTCTTTTTTATGATGTTTGTGAGATATTTGATCGATTTCACCATATTTGGGACACTAATAAAGTATATCATTATATTTTAAGCTTCAGTTCATGTTCTTGTCTTATTTTTTGTTTGTTTATTTTTTAAGAGAGGGAGAAGGTGGAAGGAGCAGAGGGAGAGGGAGAGAGACAATCCTAAACGCAGGCTCCACACTCAGCAAGAGCCAGACATGGACTCGATCTCACAACCCTGAGATCATGACCTGAGCCAAAATCAAGAGACAGACGCTTAATCGGCTGAGCCACCCAGGTGCCTCTCATGTTTCTGTCTTAAAATGGTAGCAGATACAAGTTTTCAATAGACACATGGTCTATTTTTACTACTTAAGTGAAATGTTTCCATAATTATTTAATTTCTTGGGACTTCATAGACATGATTCCTCTAAAAGTTTAGGTAATAGAGAATAACATTCATGTTCATCCCCTTGATATTACTGGGATGCCTCAATCCTATGTACAAGTTAGATGTATTTGACTAGATCCATTTATTTCATTGTCTACAGAAGAAGATTATTTGCTCCAAATGGGTAGTCTTGCAGCCTTGAAAAGGGGGAAACTTGTACTGTGCTAAGAGTATTTAAATTAGGAAGCATTTATTTTATAATATGGCAACCTAGGAAACCCAATATTAAAAAAATACATAGTGTCCATAAGCCATCTAATTTATTGATACTGTTATGAGAGACATAAACAATTGCTCAGAGAATATGCAGTAGAGACAAGTCTGATGGAATCACCAAGTTGGATTTTTGCTGCTAATTACACTTCTGCAAATTCCAACAACCACCGCACTGTGGTGCAGTCCTGTATTCTAGCTCTTTTCCTCTAATAAGAAACAAATCATTTACACCATTTCAGCAAATTTATTTTCACCAACATCTTAGATCTATGGTTCATTTGCATTTCAAGTCTTATCTCTACTTGCCAAAGGGAAAGCATTGTCTTCACCGATCTCCAAAGCAGTGTGTTCATATGGTGGACATAAGACGATACATTGGGATTTTGGAATAAAACATTGGAAACAGGGCACCTGGTGGCTCAGTCGTTAAGCGTCTGCCTTCAGCTCAGGTCATGATCCCAGGGTCCTGGGATCGAGTCCTGCATTGGGCTCCCCGCTCCGCGGGAGGCCTGCTTCTCCCTCTCCCGCTCCCCCTGCTTGTGTTCCCTCTCTCGCTGTGTCTCTCTCTGTCAAATAAAATCTTTAAAAAAAAAATTGGAAAATCCGTATTTACTTTTTACCTCTAAAACTTATATTTTATGTATGTTTTTAAATGTATACAAAGCATTAGGACAGTAGACTTCTATGTACCTTAATAAAGACACATTAAGGGTAAATTCTGCTTTGGTGAGTGATCAGTCGTGGCAGCCAGTGCTCTGGTTCTCTCAGAATTTCAGGTAAGCAAGTAGAGGGGATACACCCTCCCCTCCACACACGCACATTTTTTAATGCCTTATTTTTTTTAATGTCTGTGGACGCTGTCTCTGAAAAATCAAATTGCTCCAAAACTTACCTCAAAGATAGTTTTTACTTGCTGGAGGATTTTGGGTGAGGAGAATTTTTCTCCTCACAGACTTTTACAATATTAGAAGAATTGTACTTTACAGCAGTTTTTAGCATGGGGTTTGGAGTCAAATGGACCTGGTTAGAGTTTAGACTCCTCCATTTACTACCTGTGTAACTGTAACTTTTACATCTTTCAGTTTCCCAGGGGGACTTGCCCAACTTTAAAACAGTGATATAGTGATAGTTTTCAATAGATCCTTAGAAATTTAGAGGATGGGGCACCTGGCTGGCTTAGTCAGAGGAGCATGAGCCTCTTGATATCAGGGTTGTGAGTTTGAGCCCCATGTTGGGGGTAGAGATTACTTAAATAAAGTTCTAAAAAACACTTTGAGGATGATACTTAAAAAAAAAGTTTCCCCTGATGGTAGAAACTGGTTGTTCTTTTGAATTAAATTAAATACTTAGCACAGAGCCTCACATACAGTTTAACAAATGATCAGTTGAAAATGCTGTAAGCATATAACTAATATTTAACACCTTCATTTTACAGATGAGAGACTCTTACTATCTCTCTTCCAGAAATGGTAATACTTTGTTTCCCATTTGCTTGCTCCAGGACTTTCAAATGCCAGTGGGCCCATTCTCATTTTGCCCTGTTAGCTCTTGTGGGCCACTGGTCAGCATATTTTTTCTGTAAAGGGCCAGATAGTAATATTTTACGCTTTGTGGACTGTGCTGTCTCTGTGGCAACTATTCAGCTCTACCATTATAGCTTGAAAGTAGCCATAAACCATTTGCAAACAAATGGGTATGGTTGTGGTTCAATAAAACTTCGATTACAAAAATAGGTGGAGGGCCAGATTTGACCCATGGGTCATAGTTTGTCAACCCCTGATCTGGATGGACCCTTCTCCCTTCTCCCTAGGCTAAGCACCCAGGGCTGGTGCTACCACAGTCCAGCAATTTATAGAATTAGGAGGAAGGGAATAGAGTAGTCTACTCATAAAAGCAGTATTTCCTCAAACTAGTTAAGGCATTGACTCAATTTTAAATGCAAGTAATAGTCTCATGAACTCCCATTATTGACTTCAGTTTTATCTTAATGTCATAGAAATAGACAGATTTATAAAACAAGCTAATAACTTTATATCAAATCACACTATGAAACCATAAAAGTGGGTTGCATTTACAAACAACACAGTACTATTCAAATTAATTACTCTGATAGATGATAATTTGCTAAATCAAATTATTGCTTGCAATATAAATAACTTACGGTACAAGTTCTTTTGGAATATATATATATATAATATATATATATTCTACTGTAGTTCATGTGATGACTCAACTTTCCCACCTCTTTTCTCTATTTGAGCTACTACAGAACCTTCTTCTGTTTAAAGGGTGACATCATTTGGCCCTCACCTGGGTGTGAATGCATATACATTTAAAGTCTGCCATTGCTCTTTTCTCATTAGTCCCTGACAATTAAAGTGATACTACTTGGCACCATTTGATTGAAAACAGACACTGACATCATGTGGCAGTTTTCAATTATAAAGTGTCTGTACTAATATTTTCAGGTCATCATTGAAATGAAAACATAAAAGTTAAAAATTCTCAGGATTTACAGACCATTGAACATATTTATAGACTACAGTTTGAGAGATTCAGTATAAATCTTGTAGAATCTTATTTCCTGAAGTTTATTCCGGAGGTATAAGGGACATTCTGCTATTGGGATGTAAGATGGAGAATCTTTGTCTTTTTAAAGTGTGTCCATGCTAGTATTAGAAAAAAACTGAAGGCTCTAAAAGTGTTCATATATACTGGTTGAAAATAACAGAAGAGAAGAATTTAAATATTGCTTGTGTAAAATAAATTGCGATTATAGTTATTCATGTTGCCTGTTATCACTGACTTCTGATTACCATAGGCAGAATAGTTATTATACATATTATAAATTATGTATCAGATTAAAATAATAGGATTTCTTGCCAAAAGGACTTTTAAGGTCACTTTGATCAGCGGTTTCATTTTACAGATGACACTGAGGCTGGGTAGTGACCTGACTTGTTCAAGAATACTTAGCATAGGAGAGGACAGATAGTAGAATGCAAGATCTTTTTAGATGCTGGTTCTGGGATTTTTTTCTACTGTAGGATTATGTTTTTTTCCTGAGATCTACAGAATGATAATGAACTATAAACCTCTTAAAGACAGGATTGTGTCTTCTATTTCTCTGATTTCCAGGGCCTCATACTGCGGACAAGTAATACTTAGGAAGTAACACCTAATAAAATTACAATTACTGAATTATATTGTACACCTGAAACTAATACAATGTCAGTTATATCTCCATTTTAAAAAAAGCATATATGGGGGGGGGCGCTTGAGTGGCTCAGTCATTAAGCGTCTGCCTTCAGCTCAGGTCATGATCCCAGGGTCCTGGGATCGAGCCCCGCATCGGGCTCCCTGCTCTGCGGGAGGCCTGCTTCTCCCTCTCCTTCTCCCCCGGCTGTGTTCCCTCTCTTGCTGTATCTCTCTCTGTCAAATAAATAAATAAAATCTTAAAAAAAAAAATGTGTATATGGGACCCTGAAATAATAACACAGAGTTGTATATTAACTTCAACATGTGTGAAGAGGGGCTGAAAGTAAAGTTTTCTTTCTCAAGCTGAATAAGGAAAGTAATTGGTTAAATGGTGATAAGTAGTAATAGTTTGGGTTACTAGAACATGTACCTATTGCCTAAGTAAGATGGACCTAATTTTAAGGGTATTGTGAGGGGACCTGAAAAGTTAAAAAAAAGTTATAATTAAGGATTATGAAAATATACTTACTACATATATAGCTTCCATTTGAAAATTTTGCTTTATCTTTTTAAACGTAATTTGAATTTTTTATGTTTACTACTGATGTTCTTGCCCTGTTTTTTATAGTATGCCACATTAGCTTTGTTTTTTGTTAATTTGCTTTGCTTTCCATCTTAGAGTTTTATAAACTATTTGAATAAAGGGGAATAAAAATGCATTGCTTAGATAAAAGGACTTTAACCTTCAAAATGCTTCTTCAAAAATGCTTCAGGGGCGCCTGGGTGGCTCAGTCATTAAGCGTCTGCCTTCTGCTCAGGTCATGATCCCAGGGTCCTGGGATCGAGTTCCACATCGGGCTCCCTGCTCTGCGGGAAGCCTGCTTCTCCCTCTCCCACTCCCCCTGCTTGTGTTCCCTCTCTCGCTGTGTGTCTCTCTCTGTCAAATAAATAAATAAAATCTTAAAAAAAAAAATGCTTCAAATTTGTATTTTTGAACAAGCCAACCCAGATGCAAAAAAATGCACGCAATGCTAAGGTCTAATTTTTACTGTCTCAGAGAATTCAACGAATTAATTTCAATTGTTGGTATATGAGTAGCATTGAAGTTTTTTGTCTCTTTCCCCTCTATCTTGTTCTACCTTCATTTCTTGATACTGTATAAATATTTTCTAGTATATGGGAACTAGTACCAGTTAATGATATTTAGAAAAGTGGTATATCAAGAAAAATTTGGGTATACTCTAAACAATCTAAGAAGGATAGTCTTATTTTTATTGAAAGTTGTTGTTAAAATCCAAATTATTTTCCTGAGATGTGATTATAAACAGTTTTTCTGTTGTAGTCATCTATGTTCTTGATTATGTGCGTTTTGGGACTATGCATTGCTCTAATGTATTGCATAACAAGGTTTCTTTTGAAATATTAATGTTCATTAAACGTTTAAAGCTGTTTACAGAAAAATGAATGGAAATATGTATATTTATTATTTTATATTTTATTTTATTTTTTTAAGATTTTATTTCTTTGTGAGAGAGAGAGAGAGAGAGAGAGCTCACAAACAGGGGGAAGGGGCAGAGAGAGATACAGGGTCGGGAGGGTCAGAGGGAGAAGCAGACTCCCTGCCGAGCAGGGAGCCCGATGCGGGACTCGATCCAGGGACTCCAGGATCATGACCTGAGCCGAAGGCAGTCGCTTAACCAACTGAGCCACCCAGGCGCCCCAGAAAATTGTATTTTCTTTTGTGTAGCTCTTTATAATTTCTAAAACTTTGTTTTTATTGTTGAGAGGAGCCAAAAGCTAGAAATAGCTTGAAGGTTAATAAGTAGGTAATTGGCCAAATTAGTGGTGGTACATCCAGATAATACAATATCATGTCATTGTTAAAATGAATGAGAGCCCAGAAATGCACTCACAGGTTGTGTAAGGAAGGATTAACTCAGCTGATGTGGGTTGCCCAAACCCAGCATGTTCCTGAGAAAGGCTTCAAGATTGGCTTCAAGATTGGCTCTTGGCTTGCTCCTGGGAGACAGATTCTGAGCTCTTGGAATATTCTTTCTAAAAAGAGTGTTTTTGTATGCCTGAGGCCTTGGATTACACAGTACCGGTTGGATCAGATAGTTAATGCAAACCATTTGATTTATGGTGAACACCTATTTTTGCTCTGGGGACTGGAATCTGAAAGCTGTGGTTAGTCATGCAGGTCCTGGATGCCTTGTGACTGACCCCCAGTAAAACCTCTGGGCACCAGGGCTTGGGCAAGCTTTCCTCATTGACATCACTTGGCATGTGTTGTCATACATCGTAGGTGGGAGAATTAAGCACGTCCATGCAACTCCACTATGGGATGACACCTGGAAGCTTGTGCCTGGTTTCTACTGGACTTTGCTCATGTCCTTTTCTCTTTGCTTATTTCAGTCTGTATCCTTTTGCTGTAATAAGCCATCATGGAGTGTAACAGCTTTTCTGAGACCTGTGAGTCCTTTTAGTGAATCTCTCCCAGAAAGTAGTCCTGAGGACCCCTGACACACAGGGCATCAATAGATATGTGCAAGAATATTTATGGAAGCTTTGTTTGTAATTGCTCAAACCTGGCAAAATTAGTCACTAGTATTGCATTACTCTTACTGGTTTTGATAATTGTACTATGGTTGTAGAAGATGTTAACATTAGGAGAAGCTGGTTGAAGGGCATAAAGGAACTCTCTTTTTGTAACTTGTTTGGTGGGTCTAAGATTATTTCAGAATAAAAAGTTAAAAAAAAGAGCGGTTTGAGGTGCTTTTATATGCATAAATTGGCTCTGGCAGCTCATAGAGAAATGCCATTGGTTGTATCTAGAGAAAGAAAGTAGTGGCCAGAAGGGAATTTACTTTTGCTAAAGCATTGCATCTCACTGATTTAGTCATCTGGTCATATAGATATTACCTCACACTGCTCGTCATCTTTCAGCAAATCTAGCTGAATATATTCAGTACCTGATTACTTCTCATCACGTTCAGTGTCATCATCTGGGTTCCTGGTGGTTAAGAGTGGCTTTGGAGTTAGATGTTGGTTTGAATCATAGCCTCACTGTTTGCTGGTTTTATGACCCTGAGTAAGTTATTTATCCTAGCTCCAGCTCTTAGTTTCCCACTTGAAAAACAGGGATAATAATATCTGACTCATGGGGGTGTGAAGATTAAATGAGATAATGTCTCTAATGTTCTTTGCACAACGTTTGACACATTCAGTAAAAGGTAGCCATTAATTATTAATTTGAAGAGTTACCTCATTCCAGATGCTTGGTATATTTTATCTTTTCTCCAAATATTTTTCACAAAGCTGTAAGTTTCTCAGACAGAAACATCATGTGTTACCATTGTACCCTCTTCTAGCTGTTTTTTTGATGCATGCTGTTATTGCTGGACCCTCATACTGCCTGGTTAACTTACTTATTCTTTGGATCTCTGACTTCTTTTTCTTTTTAATTCAATCTTTAGCAATTGTGTACAGAACTCTGCGAGGCACTATGAGGTCATAAAGATAAAACATTGTCCTTAAGGCTTTTATAAATAGTAAATTGTGGGAGACAGATAGCTTTCTGGTATAATGGAGAATGAAATAAGTACAAGTATCCTCCACATTTTGAAAGTCTGTATTTTTGCTAACCGAAAGAAGTATTTTCAGAGGATTTTCACTTTTATGAAAAAAGATGAAAAGTGAAAATAGCATTCAGCATTTGTTTTACAGTGAACCCTTATAGAGGCTGCGTGTACCCGAGCAGGGAGAGCAGCCCCGCCCAGCTCCTTCTCCCCGAACTACACTCAACATTTCAGCATCAAGCCCCCAGAGCTTTGAACTGTGTCTGTGGGCATCTGTGCTTTATCTCAATTTATTTTGTGCATCTGTTAGCAAGATGTGTCCTAAGGTATCAGAAAAACCTAAGAGAGATTATTTTTTGGGTCTGGGAATGCTCAAAACTTTTTCCATATAAATTAATAGTAATTGCTTCTTCACTTTATGCCTTTTTGGGTTATGAAAGGTTTCATAGGAATGCTGTACTCTTGGATAATAGGGGAAACCTGTATCTTGTCCACTGTTCTTTTTCGGCTTCTAGCAGTTATGTAAGTAGCTTGTAGCCCTTCTCTGTCCTTTACTTTGGACTATAGATTACACAGAGAGAAATAAAGGTAGGTAGCTAGACCTTCATAGGCTCTAAAC